AGTCATTTCTCAGATATAGCAACTTTCTTTATTGAATATTGAGGGACACAGAAATTCTTATACTGTTGGGTTATATTGCACCCTACAGGAGAATGGACGCTGACAACAAAAAGGTTGTTGGCCAGCACAGGATAACTGTACCCTCAACCATCAGCCCCCAGTTTTTTGCTAGTGTCTTCAGAAGAGTGTTCTCTTCTGCTCTGCTGTTCTGCGCTCATTTAGAAGTATTGTCTCCAATCAACAGTTGCTGGTACAGTCATGTGGGCTAAATTAAATTTTGGAAGTCTCCAGTTAGCTAAGAAACGCAGGACTTCCCAGTTTTATACTGGTGTTATCTCTGACAGGCCTGCAGTCCACAGTGACAAGCTGTCTGTGTTACAGTAACCAGAGGACTCTGCTATTCAGGTCAAGACAATATTTCTGGGGATTTAATGCCAAGTTATGGATACCAGAGTTGTAGAAGTTCATCTTACCCCCTCTTGGAAGACTCCATGTTATGGGTTGTTATCAGGTCGCATGTCATGTTGAGAAATGTTTCCTTTTATTTATAATGTGCAGAAGCTGCTATACTTGGCAGTGTATGAGGGACATGTAACTTCTCCCTTTTTACCTATATAGCTTTACAAGCTGGGTATTGTGGTTTTGACTCCCTGTTACTGTAGCAAGTTAAACTGTGTCCCTTACACCCCATTCACACTGAGCGACATGCAACTCGTGCGGATTTCCGCGCGATCGTAGTAGCGCAATATAGCGTGACTTTTCATGCGCCGATCGCACGACCTTTCGTATTGGGCTGCATGAAAATACAAGCAAAATCACGCGACATCCGCGCATAAAAGGTCCTGCACAAGCGATGAGCTACAGGCGACATTGAGCTGTAGAATTTAACAGCTCCATTGAAAATAATTTTCAAGCGGTAATCCGCTCAATGTGAAGGGGGACTTAGGCTGGGATAACCTCTTTTTATTACTCTCTGAGAGACTTGCACATTTTTTTTCTGTGCCTAAGGCCAGGCACTGTTATGTATGTAACTGCCATTTTGTAATTCCCGCCTATTACATGTGGGCCAGGACTTGATGACACACTGTAATTTTCCAGTGAGCTTGCCTCTTTATTCTGCTGTATTGCTTCAGCCTAAGAACCCAGCAGCCTGGGGTCCTCCTTGTTATTTAGTTCTAGGCGCCATGTTTTCTTTCCCTGTGTGGATAGGCATGTTTTCTAATACCCATACTGCCACTGAGCTTTACACCAGCTTCCTCGGCTGGGCCATTAACATCACCCAGTGGGTGGGGCCAGCACATGCATGCAAAGGCTTTTTCTCTGGAATACCTTTAGGGGTCTGAGGTACAAGCTTTAACTCTGTGTAATTCTGTCTAGTGACAGAATGGTTTCTACTTTCTGGGCATTGTCATACTGTGGTAAAGTAACCCTCTCAATGGATCTGGCATTAGATACATTCACCTGCTGTTACACGGCTTCCTTAAAGTGACACTAAACTTGGGAGTTGAACCTTCAAAATGCATTGAAGAACCATTTAACCATTAACAACAATGTAGTTTATTTGTGTATCACTCAGCTGTAGATCCTCAGATTCTCTGAATTGGTGCTGAAACTGTCCTTCCTTCTGGAGGGTGGCTACTTTTTTCCCCCATGATCCCTGGGTGTGTTGTAAAGTAGTCACCGCTCCAAGCTCGCTCCCGTGATGGACTACTACCTCAGGTTTAGTTTACTAATTTGTATTGAAATAGTCCATCATGAGAGCAATCTTGGAGCAGTGGCTACTTTATAACACACAGGGACCATGGGGAACAAAAGTAGCCACCCTCTAGAACAGCGGTTCTCAACCTGTAGGTCGCTACCCAAAAGTGGGTTGAAACCCCCTGTTGAGTGGGTCACTGTGTGCCTTCTGTTGTGCTAGGTGAGAGGTTCCTCAGCCTCCCCCTAGCGCAGCAGTGTCAGTTCTCCCACCATGCCTCTATGTGTTGCTGCAGCCAGGGCCAGATTAACATAGCTAGGGGAGCTCCTGCTCCAGGCCTTGGCTGGCACCGAGCCCCCGCTGACCACCACAGAGCCTGTACTGACCACCAGATTGGCTGCACTGGCCATCAGAGGGGCCCGCACTGGCCATCAGAGGGGCCTGCACAGCCCTCCTGAGACCCTGGAGACATCAGGCCGCAAACCGGGAGCAACATAAGTTATGTAGCAGCATATTATTCTGCATTGCTGTATAATGTATTACTGGGATTTGTAGTCCTCTATAGCCGGTGCCATTCTGCATTGCTGTATAATGTATTGCTGGGATTTGAAGTCCTCTATAGCTGGTGGTATTCTGCATTGCTGTGTAGTGTATTACTGGGATTTGTAGTCCTTTCCTCTAGAGCAGGGGTGTCAAACTTAATTTAATCGTTGGCCGCATCAACATTATGGTTGCCCTCACAGGGCCTGTAAGACTATATAAATGTATCTAATCTTTATCATAATTGCCTCTGCATTATCGCTGGTTTTTATTAATAACTTAATACCTAGATCTGAAAGTAAAAGTCTAGGAAATGGCCTGGTGGGCCGGATTCGGCCCCTTTGCCTTGAGTTTGACACGTGCTCTAGAGTGTGATCTCAAGGGGAGCCATGCTGCAGTAACGGTAATCCCAGTTTCTCAGTATCCTAAACAGTGCCGCGAGAGACTGGCTTCCTGGCCAGTCAGGAAGATGACCCGCTGCCTGGCTTCCTGAATGTCTGGGAAGCTGGTTTCATGTTCCCTCACAGCACTGTATCCTGGCTTCCTGACCAGTAAGGAAGCCAGGTGGCAGGTCATGACCTACCGCCCTTCTTCCTGGTCGGGAAGCCAGGCTGACCAGCAGCGTTGCAAGGGTGTATGGAATCTCCCTCTGACTGGCAGCTCCGGTATCGGAATATTTGGGCGAGTATGAGTACTCGGCACAGATACTAATATTGGTGCATCCTTAAATTTTACCGTTGGGGTCACCACAACTTGGCAAATGTTACCAAGGGGTCCCGGCCCTAGTAAGGTTGAGAACCACTGCTCTAGAAGGAAGGACAGTGTCAGCAGAAATTCTGAAATTATTTGAGGATCTACAGCTGAATGATACACAAATAAGCAACAGTTTTGGTAATAGATAAGGTACTTGAATGCATTTTTAAGATTTAACTCCTGAGTTTAGTGTCACTTTAACAATGCAGTGATTGTTGGCAGCAGAGCTGCACAGGTATTGATCGGGACTGCTGCTTATGTTTTGTTTTAGTCACGGTAGCTTTGTGACACCTCATTTTCACACTAAAGCTTATATTCAATGCAGGCTGTTTCTTTCATAACTTTATTTAGGGAGCACAGGTCAAGCATTAAAGCTCCTTATTTATTGGGGTTTTTATTGCATGCCTGCAGTGTTGTGGTCATCCACGCATAGCTCTGCATCATACAGCACCTGTTCAATGTGCTTTTTGGATTTCAACATTGTACCACGCTCAGACATTTCCATCATCGTTCTAGTGCATCGTTGATAGCTGTGTTGCCAGTAATATGGTAAAGGACTTGGGAGAGGTTTTGTTAAACCCCAACTAATGCTATAACAATGCCAGATTCCAGACTGTCCCCTCTGGCACCCCAGGTGTCAATGTCAGATTTTAAAGTGCCATACAATTGGATTACCTCTAAGTATTGAAGTGTAGTGCACCTAACATCACATGAACACTACAGGTCATACCCGAAGTTCTTTGTCTTTCCCTTCTATCTCTGGCCAACAAGGCTGGGTTGCTGCATATGTATATGCACAACAGGTTCTTGTGTGAATTGGGATCCTTATGGTCTGGTTAAGCTATCTGCTGGAGACTGCTTCTGAACCCATGGGTCTCCGCCTCCTCCCAGCTCCACCCCCTGGGTCTGCCTCCTGGCTGCAACGCCTGTCTCTGTCTCCTGACCTCACCTCCCAGCTAAGGTACCCTAAAGACACGAGAGATCAGTAAGAGGACAGCCAGTGTAAGGGGGCACTCCGATGGGGACAGCCAGTGTAAGGGGGCACTCCGATGGGGACAGCCAGTGTAAGGGGGCACTCCGATGGGGACAGCCAGTGTAAGGGGGCACTCTGATGGAGACACTCTGGGGCAATAAAGGGGGCACTCTGATGAGGACAAACAATGTAAAGGGGCACGCTGGGATGAATGCATCAGCACTGTGTCTGGGAAAATATACCAGCAGCTGTGCGTTGCAGTGCAGCCGCTGGTGTGAATGAACCCTAAATGGCGGACCGCAGTCCAGAAATGGACTGAGTGGCTGTTCTGTCCGGACTGCGATTCGGACCTCGGCTCAATGAAAATTTTGCACACCGGACCTCACTACCCCTGATTTAGAGCATATGACTAGAGTTACTGCTGTAGCTGGCTTTTCAATGCAGCTACAATGCTTCTCTAAGCAGACATAAATTGCTGATATGATCATCAGCAGCTACCTTATAAAATGATAAGAATAGCTACTGAAGATGGCAATGCACAGCGTCAACCAACAATTTAGGTCATTGTTACATAGGACCAACCAGCAATTTTACAGTAGTTGCATAATTTAGTTTTTGGTCATTAGAGTTGCTAGTAATAAACTGCAGTCAGTGAAAAGTCTAAAGTGGTTGTACACGCCCAATAAAAACAAGCCATGCAACAGATTTGAGCATCTCTTTTATCAAACCGGCTATGTAGGGTATAACTGACATTAAAAAGTGCATATTGCAACATTGGAAGTGTTATCACACATACTGTACACACTCACCCAGATTTTAATTTGAAATAAAAGGAACAATCTCTTCATTAGCCATGCTGGGGAAAAAGTTGAATTCCATCCAGCTATTCATGTAGCATGAACAGATTTTTCTTCGCCCACCATTCTTGGTAAGAGATCTGCCCATGTTTGCATTACCAATTGCTTTACAAATCTGAATGTTAAGATGCTTATTGTCTAGACAAATTCACTGTTGTCCTTTTATCTTTTTTCTTTCCAGTGCTGATTTTGATGAGATTGAACTTCTGTATTCTCTATCTGCAGCGAGTGGGACGACAAAACGTAATACCAAGAAAGCATCTGCTATAATAACGACCATATGATAGTTAGTACTCAACTGTCTGTAAATGTAAATTTTGATCTGCAAATATACCTAACCTGTAACTTAAAGTGACTCTAAATTCAGGAGTTAAATCTTCAAAATGAATTCATGTACCTTAACTATTAACAAAAATATACCCTACTTGTGCATCACTTAGCTGTAGACCCTCAAATTAATTCTGATACTGTCCTTCCTTCTGGAGGGTGGCTACTTTTTGTTCCCTATGGTCCATGTGTGTGTTGTAAAATAGCCACCGCTTCAAGCTCACTCCTGTGATGGACTACAATCTCATGTTTAGTTTACTAACTATTGAGATTGTAGTCCATCACGGGAGCAAGGACCATGGGGAACAAAAGTAGCCACCCTCCAGAAGGAAGGACAACATCAGCACAAATTCAGAGATGATTTGAGGATCTACAGCCCAGTGATACACAGGCTACATTTTTGTTGATGGTTAAGTTACTTGAATGCATTTAAAGATTTAACTCCCGAGATTAGTGTCACTTTAACAGTTGAAGAACAACAACAAATCTAGCATTCTCAGAGACCCTGGTAACTGAAACAAGAATCCAGTAGTTGGTCCTGGTTCTTTCTAAATGATAACTGTACTTTTAGAACAGTTATCAGTTAAATATATCTCTTCTCCAACACACCCTCCCCTCCAATTCTTATCCCTATAGTTTCTCAACTGAAAGTCTCCTAGCCAGGTTCTGAATTAGTTCCTTTAAAAAGCTGTCTCTTTTTTTTTCTTTTCCTAAGGGTGGATGGGTTTACCTAGGAATGAATGGAATTTACTCCACAGTCCAGCCAGGGGACTTTCGGTAAAGGGGCTGTGTGGCTCCCAGCAGGCACAAATTAACATCTTGGAGAAGTGGGGACAGATAAGTGTAAGACTCATTTCAGTGATTACTAAAAGTACTGCATGTGTCCTCATTCTGTCTTCTGCCATCCTTGGAAAACTGCCTAAGATGGTAATGGCTGGACTTCCTGCTAAGGAGACAGGTCACCCCTGCCTCGTTATTATGGACTAGATCAGTGCTCCCCAACCTTTTTATCGCCGCGGACCGGTCAACGTTTAATAATTTTACCAAGATCGCCGGCACGCACACGTGTGACACATTAGTGCCCGCGTTCTGGTCCAGTACAATCTGCACAAAATAGTGCATGCAGCATTTTTGCAGATCGCACTGGACCGGAAAACGCAGGCACTAATGTGTTACGCATTCCGGTGCCGCGATCGCACTGCAGGCGGGGGGCGAGGCTTCAGTACCATTGAGTTCAATGGACCACCACGCCCCCTCCTGCCCCAAAACAAAGTGAGCCGCCGGGTTGCATTCCAGAGGCTGAACGCACTGGCACGCACTCCTTAGGGCTTGTTCACACAAATTACGGTGCTTTCCAGAGCGGTAGCTGCTGGAACGCACAGCAATCACTCAGAATCTTCCCGCTGAGTTCAGGGGTGGGAGGGGGCGTTGCGGTGCATTGAAGTCAAAGGCACTGCAGCCACCTCCCGTAGTGCGATCGGATGCGTGGCAAAATATTGCCTGCGTTCTTTTCCACTGCAATGCTGCTTGCGCTATTTTTTGTGTTTGCAGTGGAATGGAACGCAGGCAATGTTTTGCCACAATTCCCGATCGCACTGCGGCAGGGGGGGCGAAGCAGTGCCATTGAATTCAATGCACTGCCACGCTCCAGAACGCAGGGGGAAGTTTGGGAGCGATTAATGACCAGTCACTAGTAGTTTTACTTGAGGCAGGGCTGATTTTATTAAGCAGAGCAGAAGTGGTGTACAGTATGTTCAGTAATCTGCCCTCCTGCCTCTGCCTTTTCTGCCTATCCCCTTGTTTTCTGTCTCTCAGCTCAGCATAACATCCCTCAGCTGTTGCCAAAGAGCTAAGAATGCTGTCAGTGGAGTTTGTTGTTATCAGTGGGGAATAGTTGAATACAACACCGGAAACCAACAGTGAGGCAGTGCAGAGGTATTGCTTTTATTAGCAGAGCTAGGTAATAGCAGTCATTTTCATTTTCTTTTAAATACTTTATCTATCTTGTCTAAAGACAGAAATGTTTTGTATTATATTGACAAAAATCCTTATCTGCCTGCAAAGCCACCCACCAGTAGACTCCCAAGTGCCTGACCATGGTGTGTGCATAGGCTGACGGTTCTTGAGAGACATAGTTACTCTTGAGAAATTTGTCTTTTAGTCCTTGATAAAATAATTGAATTGAAGAAAGAGCTGCTACAACTGGCCACCTGTCGGATGAATCTGCAGGGCACCCAACTTCACATCTTATTCATGTAGGGGTCCAGCAGATCCCTCCTCTTTTTGGCTGCTAATAGCAGGCCTTTCCTTAATCTAATGATGCTATAAAGGAGGAGTGAAATATGAAAACATTTCAGTTTGTTGTCTGCTGGATGGGGGAGAGTTAAGTTTCTTAAAAAAAACAAATTGAAATTAATTGGTTTCTACTCTCCATGCATTCATTGAATGGAAGGCAGAGTTTTACAGCCCCATTGACATTACGTAGGCGGCAAAAAATGACACAATTTTCTTTCCCTGTAAATGTTAGTATTTGTATTGTAAAAACTTTGAATTGTTGCTATTGTTCTTAGTTGTTTGTAAAAAAAATTATGTGAAATACATAATAAAAATATTGAAATACAGAAATCGCAAAAGATTCAGAAGGTAAATTATTCTCAGAGAAAATAAAAGGATAGTGATCTCGATCTACTGCATATATGCTGGAAAATAACATCTGTAGTTTTCTTCCTAGAAGAAGGAAGAAAGTTTTCTTCTTCTCTTAAACTGTGTATTTTCTAATATTCAGATGGACTTTAAATAAAAGAGCAAAATATTCCTAAATGTGTTTGGTCATTCTGACAGTATAACTACCGTATTTTTCGCTCCATAAGACGCACTTTTTTCCCCCCAAAAGGAGGGGGAAAATGTGCCTGCGTCTTATGGAGCAAATCCCGACGCCCGAGACATGCAGTTTCGGGCACCGGGCGAGTAGTAGGAGCCACTGCTCGTTTAATACGAGTGATCTAATGAGATCACTCGTATTAAAGCCAAGCAACAGCGGCGGCGATCGAGTTCAGCAGTAGGAGCCACTGCTCGTTTAATACGAGTGATCTAATGAGATCACTCGTATTAAAACTGAGCAGCGGCGACGATGGAGATCACCATAGAGCAGACTAAGAACGGACTTTCTTCGTCTGCTCTGTGTGATCACTGAGACCGTGGCGCTGTAATCACATCGCCACCTGTCTCAGCGGTCACTAACTGCAGCTTCTGTCACAGCTTCTGTCATAGAAGCTGTGACAGAAGCTAATCTGTCAAGTGCTCCATAAGGCGCGCCGGACCTCCCTGCGTCCTATGGTCCGGTGCGTCTTATGGACCGCAAAATACGGTATTTTAAGTTTACTGTTAATGCATTCATTCATTGTATGTTTTTCTAGAATGGTATTTTTGTATATTTTTGTTATATATTTTTATTCACATGAATAAAAGCAATATTTTCTTTATTGTGCAGAGAATTTATAATGTATTTATGGGGTGGTGAGGCATATGGTTGATTTACTAAGCACATAAACACGCCATGAACACGCCATGCAAAAACACGCCGACTGTGCGCGCGGCGCAGAAGCGTATGCAGAAGCGTGATTCATGGCGTGTTTATGTGCAGATGCTTGATAAATAGCACAAACACGCGCGCATGGCGTATTACATTTCCAAGGATAGCCTAACTCTGATTGTGATTGACAAGTTTACACATTGCTTATTCTCATTAATGACAGCGAGCTGAGAGGCCGGGGGATGAAGGTAATTTTAAACCTAGCCATACACTATAATATTTTGGCCTGCTGAAATGTGAGCAGTGTGTGGCTTCCTCTGCAGCCCCCTGCTCCATTCAAAAAAGGTGATTATTTTTTTTTTATTTCAAAGGAGCTGCTCTGAAAAATCTCGGCTTATTAGCTGCATTCACTGTTTGGGTATTCCAACATCTGCACACCTGCCACTGTCAGCATAAAATAGGCCAACAAGGGGATTCCCCCATCCATGCTAAACAGCCCACTTAACGAGAAAACATAGCCAATTTATGGACAGGCTCAGGCTGGAGTTAGGTTAAATATGGCACACCCTGGCTAAATGAAAAAATTGAGACAGATTCCTTCATCTACATTAATAGCGTGTATGGCCGAATCTCCCTCTGTGTTCATTGTATTCTGACAGCAGTGCCTTTTCTGACAGCGGTGACCTATGGTCCCAAATTAACTTCAATATTGGTGGGTTTTTGTGCAAAACAATGTAATTATTGACAGGTGACAGTAGCTGATGGTTAATTAAAGATGGCGGTATGGGTATGGTACAGTTGTAGTGTTACATTTTTTTCTGTATGTCTCAAGCCTCCAGGTAGTGTATTCAGACCCCCTTCACTTTTTCAATTTTGTTGCAGCCTGATACTACATTTGTTTAAATTCTTTTTTTTTTTCTTTTCAGGTTAATCGACACTCAGTACCTCATAATGACAAAGTGAAAACAGAATTTTAGAAATGTAGGTGAATTTATTAAAACGAAAAATCTGCAATATCACATGTACTTAAAGTGGCCCTTTACACTCAAAAAATAAATTCTACCAATGCATCCCTCTATGTATGATGGTTAATAATAACATAGACATAGCAGGTGTAAAATGCTGTGATTTTTAAATACTTACACTTGCAGAGCATTCAATTCCTGCCTTGAAAGAGAAAAATTACTTCAGTTTACCAAAGCAATGCACACTGGGATTGCCTTGTCATCAGCAGAGCCCTGCTGGGAAATCTGGTCACATGTCCTAGTCACGTTTATTATTTTATATACAGGGGTGCGGAATTCGTATCGCCCGACGCCCGGGACATGTAGTTTCGAGCGCCGGCTAGTGGCTTTTTCCGTGTTGTAGCCCTGCTTCTTTTACCTGAGCGGTGACAGAGCGGGGGGCGTGGAGCAGTGACAGAGCGGGGGGCGTGGAGCGGTGACAGAGCAG